AAAAAAAAAAACTACCTGAGTCTGAAGTCTCCGGGGGTCATTCATCCCACCTGGTTGGTGACTAGATGCCAGATGAACACAGGTTGAAGCTGGTCGGCTGGGTCCCATCGTGAGTAACAGTGTAGAATAGCAGTGTAAGCCTGGTCATAGGCCAACAGTTTCTAAAACTATTGCCTAAAATCAAAGAAAGCTACTTTGAGATTCTGCAGTCATCAAACCAAAGAAAGAGTAAGTAAAACAATTGTCATGCCAGTGCAACAATATTCTTTCTATCGGTTGTCTATAGCAATCTCATACTAAAGATTAAAAGCTGAAGGGAGCTGATAGGATAGTGTCTTCCATTTACAAAAGAAACCAGATTTGAAATTTGACTTTCCAAGAGAAGAGGCAGCCACACTATTTTAATGACAATCTCTTTGCCAAATTTCTAATCTCAAGGGTCTCCAGTTAAGACATGATTCAGAAAACAGACATCTGCTATGGCAGATACTTCCCAGGAGGGCAGTTTGACTAAATCCTAACCATTGTCAAAACACAGTATGCTTTACTCTTCTGAGTAGCTTAAAAGGTTGCAACTCTGAATGATTCAAAGTAAACCTGCAGGGTCAGAACACTTAGATTTCTCAGGACCTGCCACTAACCAGCCCTCTCCAACCCTCAATTTCCCTCTTTCCAGTTCCCCTTAAATCTCACACAGTGAGATAAAACACATGAAAGCATTTTGTAAGCTGTCGTGGGCTACTTATATCATTGCCACACCCTTTTCTGACTGCCTCTTTATAGGTACTCTATTAGTCCTGAACTCTGCAAAGAATGTGTTTACTACATACTTCTCTCATGTTATTTACCTATTTCCCAGGTATATGTCTCATCTTCCTCGCTAGGCAAGGTTCCTTGAGGATAAGGGCCTTGTCTTGCTCTTCTCTGGTATTTCCCATAATACAGTGCTTTGAGCATAGCAGACAATTTAACTCAACATTTGTTGAATTAAAGCTGATTTTCCATAAAACTGATTTTTAAATGTACTGGGGTTTTGTTCTCTCAGAACCCTACAGTAAATCAATTGGGAAATTTAGGTTTTAAAAAACTCTAAGTTTTAGTATAAACCCAAGGTTTGTAGAACTGGATTTGCTTAAAAACAGAAACATCTGCAGGAATATAAAGTCAGCTGTCCAAGACTCCTTTCTAAGGCTGTAAAAATATGATCAAAAATGTAGCTGGGAGGAGGCTCGTGAGCGAGGCAAATCCCAATTGGCTCGACACCCCACTGTTCAGGGACCAGAGCCCAGAAGGAAGCCTGCAGAATTGGGGCGAGGGCACCTGCAACTTTTATGTGGTCAGCACTTTTCCTGTTTGATGCTAATAATCCAGTCTCCACTGGGGAAAAAAAATGGTGATCTTCACAGCTCCAGGATTCCTCAAGTGATGCTACACACACATAAACATACATCCACACACATAAAGTCCACCCCCAAAATGTCCCCCTGTACACATCTCTGAGGCACAACTCTCCTTGCAACTTGTCCTTCTCTGCTGCTCCAGAAAACCTCCCAATTTGTTAACCAATATAGCCTGGAACATCTCTCATCCTGAGAGACACCCCTTTATCTTCTATGCTTTTAACCACAACCCAGGATAAACCATCCCCCCCCAAACCTGTTCCCTCCCAAAGTGCCCCCAGAATCCCCCCAACTTGTTCCCTATACCTACTACTGGAATGGTCCCCTAAATCTGTCCTCCCCTGTATAATTATCTCTCAGGTTGTTCTCCCCCACTCTGACTCCACACACCCCTCTAACTGGTCTTCTCCCACTCTGCAGTGAGTTAGCTCTGAAACCACTGAAGCCTGGTTCCTCCCTCACAACGGGGGGCACTTCCACAACTTCTGGCATCCCTAGCATCATTCTGGTCCCTGCTGCTGCTGGTACATTCTCACAGCCTATTTCTTCCCTCACAGGTCTTGGGGAGCTCCATAACCTGGCTCCTCGCCCACAGGTGGAAGAAGCCCCTGCTGCCTGGCTCCTTCTGTCCAAGCCCAGGACATTTCTACTTCCCATCCCCTCTGAAACCCCAGGACCCTCTGTGGATTGTCTCCTTGCCTCTGTGAGGCCTGACACAGGCGTGCTCGTGTCTTCTCTTGCAGACCCAGTTACCCACACTGCAGCAGGCACACGGCCGGCCGCAGGACCTCCGGCCGCTGCAAGCACTCCCAAAGACAGAGGGATCCTCGCAGCTTCGGGGACTGGTCCACTAGGTCTCCTTCTCCATGGAACTGAGACCCTGTCAGAGCCAGTTTCCCCCTCTACAGATCCAGAGGCCCTGGCAGCAACAGGCACCTCTGTGGCTCTTCTCCTTCCCCACACACCCGAGAGGTCCCCAGAGCTATTCACCACCATCAGCCCAGGGACCTGGGCTGCGGGCACCCCCACCATCATGGAAACGCCAGCAGCCTGAGCCACCTCAGCAGTCTGTCTTCTGCCTGAGAAGCTCGAGAGACCCCCAGAGGGTGTCTCCTCCCCTAAAGGCCCAGGTTCCCTGGGGGCTGTGCACAGTTCCCCAGCCATGGATATTCCTGCAGTCTGTCTCCTTCCCGACAAGTCTGAGATGTCCCCAGGGCCTGTCCTTTCCCTCAGGGGCCCAGGCATCCTGGCAGCTGTGAGTGCCCCCATCCTTGTGGGACCTACGGCATCTGCAGGTCCTCTCACTGCTTCTCTGGCTCCACACAAGCCTAAGACACCTCCAGAGCCAGTCTCCTCCTGTACAGGCCTAGATGCCCTGGCAGCCACGGGCACCCCACCACTGGTAGATCCTCCTGTAGTCACAGGTACTCCTACATTCTGTCTCCTTCCCAGCACACCTGAGAAACCCCCAGAGGCATTATCTACCTCCCGAGGACCAGACACCCTAGGAGCCTCAGGCGTTTCAGCAGCCAAAGGAACCCAGGTACTCTGTCTCCTTCCTGAAGATCTCGGCAGACCTCCAAAGTCAGCATCCTCCCCCATAAGTCCAGGTACCTCAGAAGCCATGGAAATTCTGGCAGTCATTGGAACCCCAATAGCCTGTCTCCTTCCCCATGATCCCGGGAAAGCCACAGAACCATCATCCTCGCCCACAGACCACAGCTCCTCAGGAGCTGTGGTTATTCTGACAGAACCAGCCCTTTCCCACAGGTTCAAGATACCTCTCGAGGCGCTTTCCCTATCCACAGGGCCGGACACCCACACAGCGGCAGGCACCCTGGTAGGTACACTGCCAGCCCTGGGCACACCCACAGCTGCGGGTGCCCCTGCCAGGGCACACCTGGGCTTGGGCACATCTGTTGCCGCAGGCCTGCCCCCTGTCTCAGACAGCCTCACAGCCTGTCTCCTCCCGCACAGACAGGAAGCATCTCCACAGCCAGTCTCCTGGTCCGCAGGTCCAGGCACCCCTAAAGCTGGAGGCACCAGAGCCATCTGCTCCGCCACAGCCTGTCTCCTGTCCCACAGGCTCAGCTCATTCCCATGGCACACCTCATCCCCAACTACCCCTGGCACCGCCTCAGCCACAGGCACCGCCGGGGCTCGCTGCCGATCCCACAGGCCGAGGATGCCACCACGCTCTGTCTGTTCGCCCAGGCCTCCAGATTCTACCACAGCCTGAGACACCTCCACAGGCTGTTCTGTTCCCCACAGATTGGGGACATCTCCAGGGCCTGCTTCCTTGCCCAAAGCCTGAGGTACTTCCACAGCCTGTTCTATACCCCACAGGCCTGGGGCACCCCCAAGACCTGCCTCCTGTTCCTCAGGACCAGACACCTCTGTAGCCTGTGCAGTTTCCTCCCAAGACGCCAGTTCATCTCCAGAGCCTGTTTCTACCCACACAGCCTGTCCCCTCTCCCTGAATCCTGGGTCACCTCCAAATCTCGATTCCTCAGTTGCACAAGGTACCTCTACAGGCTGTCCTGCTGCCCACAGGCTGGGGTTACCTCCAGAGTCCGTCTCCTCCGCAGCCTGTCTCTGCCACATACTTGGCACACCCACAGAGGTAGTTTCCTCCTCCACAGCTCTGGGTACCCCTGTGGTATCAGGCAACTTCACACCCTGTCTACTTCCCCATAGGCCAGCGGTATCCCCAGAACAGGCTGTTCCACGCGCCAGAGTCCCTGGCACCTGCACATACTGCCCTCTCTCCCTCAGATCTGGAGCATCTGCATAGTCTTCCTCCACAGCTCTAGGTACCTCTGCAGCTTCAGGGAACTCCTCAGTGTCAGGCACCCTCGAAGTTCCCCAAGGGCCTGAGGCAACTCCATAGCCGATTTCCTCCACTGTCCCAGGCATCCTTGGAGCTTGTACTCTCCCTGACTGATGTGGGACAATTCCAGCACTTATCTCCACAGTCTCAGGCACACCAGAAGGAGACGCCCTCACAGCAGATCTTTGCCCACACAAGGCTGAGACCCTCTCACAAACCGCCCTGAGCCTCATAGCTGAAGTCACTCCTGTGGCTTGGGGAACTGCGGTACACTGGCCTTTCACCCATGGTCCTGTGACTCCCCCACGACTAGTCTCTACCCATGATGCCCGTCCAGGAACACCCCTTTCAAGTGGCCCATCTCCTTCAGGCAAAGGATAGAGTTCCACTTTGGTTCCTTCCTCACAGCCTGAAGCTGCCCTCATGGCCTGCACCTTCAACCACAGTTCCAGAATGCTTTCATGCCCCATAGATCCCGGACGACCTTTTTTCTCACAACTCCGGGGACTCTTGTAAATTGTCTCTTCCTCCTCCTTCCCAGTACCCGTCACCCACACGGACCCAGCAGGCCCCACTATCTGGGGTTCCCCCACAGTCCCATTCACCCACACAGTCCCAAGGTTCCTTCCTGCCTCGACGGAACCTTCAGTGCCAAGTGACTCCAACACCTCATTCACCCGGGCGTCGTCGCCTATCTCTGCCGCTAGTCTTCTCCCCCATGGTCGCCGACAGTCCTGCAGCCTTTCTGCACGCACACAGCGCGCCCCCCAAACGGACGACCTAGCCCGACGCCTAGTTCCACCGCCTTGGGATGTCCCTGCATCCCATCTCTTCCCCCATGGCCGCCGAACTCCCCGCCCTGACCTGCTAGGTCCCACACAGCGACCAGGCATGTCTGAGGCTGGCTCGCCCCCTCGCCGCCAGGCCCCACGGCCAGTTCCTCCGCTCATAGCTCCAGGAAAATTCCCGGCTTCCCTAACTCAGTCCCAGGGCCTGTCTTTCTCAGCCCGAGACTCCCAAGGCGGCTCCACACAAACACTCACACTCTGGACTCCAGCCCCGACCTCGGCCGCCCGGCCCCCAGCCCCGAAGGCCGCCCCCCACCCCAGTCCCGGGCCCTTAAAGGCTAGGTTGAAAAAACGATGATTATGGGCGACGGAGCGACAGGCTGTGCCCCAGCTCAGGGTCTCCGCTTCCCGAGATCCAAGATTCCTAACGCAGCTTCCCAGAATCCCCCTAGCCCCGGCCCGAGCCCACCTGGCCTGGGGCGAGGCGCGGCTACCGGGAAGCGGGCAAGGGGGGGGGGGGCAACTAGGCCTCGCTTCCGGTCGCTAGCTCAGTCGCCATAGCAACTGGCGCAGAGCGGCTTGGGAGTCGTTAAGGTTCCAGAGCTATTTAAGGGACTGACAGCGGCAAGTTTTGCAGCCTCTGAACATGGGGGCAGGGCCTAGGCCACACTAAGGCAGAAGTCTAGGTTTCGGAGTAGAGTCAGCATCATAAGAGTAGAGAAGTAGGCAGAAAGTCGACGTCGAGGAAGTCTGGCCATCAGAGGCTCCCGTAGCAGCCCAGGGCTACGGCGGCCCCTCTAGGTCCCGCCCAGCCAACCCGGGAGTGGCTCCGCCCCGCCCCACCTGGGGCTCCGCCCCCAGCAATCTGGTTTTAGCACACCTCCCGCGCACTGCCGCGCTTTCTCCCCATGGCCCGGTACGAAGAGATAAACGTGTCCGGCTTCGAGGCGTTTAACCAGGCTGTGAAACAGCACAAAGACAAGGCCATTTTTGCCTACTTCACCGGGTCTAAGGATGCCGCCGGACGCAGCTGGTGCCCCGACTGTGTTCTGGGTGAGGCCGGGATTCGGAGGCTGCTGCCCAGCGGAAGTGGCAGAAGGGCCTATCGCAGACGGACAGCGTGAGCTTAGGCAGCAGAGGAGACCCTCCGAGCGGTCTGTCATCTTTCCCCAGCCCTTTCTGCCTTTCCTTCTCTTATGCCGTCTTTCTCCGCCCTACCATTCCACTTTCTACTATTCTCCTGCTCCTGGAAGCTAGTCCTTTCAAAACTTTTCACTTCTCCATATAAACAGCGTCTTGCTGACGAAAGTTGCTCCGTAAGCAGGCAAATATGTATGCTTTTAGTTGTTTTCTGGGCGATTTGGCATAGGGATAGATCGGGACTCGAACTTGATCCTCACTGTTAAAGTGCCCTCCAATCAACGACTTATGTTAACCTCCTTAGTTAACTGCAGGTTAAAGTTTGAGTACTTCTGTGATTGGGGTGGAAGAGGGACACTGTTTATCATTACCCACGTGATAAAACAGTTGATATCTGTTTGCAGGTTGCTATGGGATCATTTTATATCAACCTTTTTTTTTTTTTTTTAAGCGGAACCAGTGGTACGTGAGGGGCTGAAACACATTAAGGAAGAAGGATGTGTGTTCATCTACTGCCAAGTAGGAGAAAAACCTTAGTAAGTGTACATGTATATGGTTTCCCAGACATGCACCAGAACTGTTGTTGACTTTGGTTCTAGGGGATTCAAGTTCTGTGTTCTTGGTACTGCTGTTTGAGTCAAACAATTAGAAGCTATTAAGTATGAAATTCTAATGTTCAACTACTTGTATTCTGTAAGTTTGGTAGTTCAATGAATTTGGCCTGGTATTCATAACTATCTTTACATTTTACATTTACATTTTGTATTTTAGTCACACTTTAAATGAAATTTTTGCACAGGGTGATAGCTCAGGTCCTCAAACTTTTTACAACAAAAACAATTAAGCCAAAATGTAGGAATATGTCAGATATTAAGCAAATTGCAAGAAAGAAATTTTTACGGCCACCTTTTCTTTTTAAAATAGCTGGAAAGATCCAAATAATGAGTTCAGAAAAAACCTGAAAATAACTGCAGTGCCTACCCTACTTAAATATGGAACAGTGAGTATCATCCTTTAATTTCCTTGTGGCTACAATTCACCCTGTCTTTTGACTTCTGCTACATTAAAATTTGAAAAGATCTTGAGATTTCATCCCAAACACTGCTATTCAGAATTCATTAAAAACATCCACCTCTGTGGTCAGTCCCAATAAGCTATTAGTTATGAAAATACCTAAAATATATATTTTTTTATATTTTTAAACTACTCTAAATTCTACAAGCACTGGTGAGAAAGACTGGCATCAATGGTTATTTTCTATTTAATCCATAATTCTGGCTGAAAAGAAAGGGCATTTCTCTAGTCCTAAGCCTGGGATTCTATGTTAAAGAATTATGGGGATGCACTGGGCTTGCTGTCTCCTGTTTTAATCTACAGAGCCAAATATTTTAATGATTCATCTTAAGGCAGATATTTAACTGTTTCATAAAACTTGTTAAAACTAGTTGACATTATCTGAAAACCATAATTTCTGTTCCAAGATTTGTGTCATTCATCTGGCTCCTATAGTAACTGTTTTTTGTAATTATGGGTTAAATTTTTTTTTTCTTATGGATTAAAATTTTACTTTTTTCTGTTACAGCCCCACAAACTGGTAGAATCTGAGTGTCTTCAGGCCAACCTTGTGGAGATGTTGTTCTCTGACGATTAAGATTTAATGATGGCAATTATGTCTTGATCTCCTGATTTACTCTAGTATAAAAGAAACTGCATATATGATTGGAATTCATGTTAACAAATAAATATGTTAAAAAAAAAACCCTGCCACATGCTTAAATAATAGAGTGCTATTAAAATGCTCATGAACCCTCACTTTGCTTGTAACATGAGTATTTTTTATATGTAAAATATGTCTTCCAGGAGCAGCAATAATGGCACAGAGTACTGTGCCACTGGTAGTAACAGAAATATCTGCAAATCCCTAGTAGTGCAGTAGTTACCTTCCAAATTGCTAAAGGAGTTAGGCTTTTTTATCTTAAATTTCATAAATTTACAAAGAACTGATTCTCCCAAAGTATCTTCTTTGGCTTTAGAACTTAACCTACCCACTTAAGGAAAGCACAGCAAATCTAACCCACACTGCTTACTGCAGTTTTTATAGTTATGTGAATATGCTTGACTACCTGGAATGAGGCGAGCTGCAGAGGTCAGAGGCTAGATAAATCTAGCAGTAGGAAAAACTCCAACCCATGAGTCAGTCACACTGATTACCATTTAATAGCCAAACTGTAAGGTTACTTAATACTTAACCTGTATAAACTTCAGTTTCCTCCTTTATGAACAGGATTGTTACAATAAAAATTAAAGTGCAATGAAGCACCTAACAATGGAATTGGTACAGTAAATAAATGTTAGCTTTCCTGAATGAGCACATGTAGTTGAGATTCCTCAACTTTGTCCTAGCCTAGGGTCAGAAATCCAATTAGTAGTTAACCATGATCTTCTCCCTGCATTACCAGGTCAGTGACATACCAGTGATTCATCCAACAAGTGGTATTATAGGTATGTCTTCCTCTCCTGCAGAACTTCTTTGCAGTTCTTGCTTGCTCTCTAAAGAGATCCCTGACTCCATCCTCTCAATCTACAAATGAGAGATGGAGAAGCTGATCTTAGGGATACCAAGGTTCTAAGAGAAAGATTTGCTGAGGCCCCATGTACATCAAGAACAGTGCCTGGCTTAGAGTGGGGGATATATAGTGGACTTCCCCTTACCCGTGCCGCAATGACACCTTAAATTGGTCTAAGGCACCTAACACTCCTATGCTTAACCAGCCGATTATGTTAAATACTAATGAAAGTTAACAAATCCAAAGGAAAATCAAAAGTAGAACAATTCTAATTTAACAGAAATAATCTATTAACAATAAAGGTCCATTGAATTAAATAGCACACTAGAGGTTCTAGGTGCTACCACAATAATGATTGGTAGATTTTTTGTTTTATCTTCACTGTACAAAAGCAATATATACATGTCTTAAGAGCCTGATCTGGATCCAGCTTTTCATTTTCCTGATGTGTTATTTTGCTGTTGCTGCTCTGCCAGGGCTTGCTGAAGGCGCATCCGCTTCCGGGAATAGTGCTGCCAGTGTAGAATTTGCTGCTCATCAATAAATTTCGCACACTGAGCATTCACCAGCTCCTTGCGGAAGTGTTCATATTGGAGCAGTTCTAACATGTGTAAACACTGAGGGTACCTGGGTTTAAGTTTAATGATTGACATAATTTAGGTCATAAAAAAGTCAAGCTCTAATCCAGTTACTTATAAATGATCTTGTAGCCTACAAATTCTATCACATTAACTTAGTACACTTCAGCAGTACTTACGCAGAGAATCTTAGTTATCAAAAAGTCACTACTAAGCAAAATTTTCAAAAATGAGAAAACTTAAGTTCAGAAAGATCAAATAACTTGCCCAAGACCACACAGTAACTGGTAAAGCCCATGTTTAGGGGCAAATCATGATATTCTAGTCTAATGGTTCCACGGTGAGGAATATGAAATCCTTTTATTTTAGGAATTGTGTGTTTTAATTGATAACTGTAGGTTATTGCTATGATTTTTATTTCAAAGTGAAATTCAGAAAGAAATATGCACAATTATTATACTCTAGCTTTTCACATATACAGCAATTCTGCACATAAATATAAAGGAGCCAAATTTCTGGCTATCAGAAAAGGAGTCACAGGTAAGAAAAGAGGAAGGCTATTGAGCCCGGTGTTACTGAGCTGGAACTGAAAACATCATTATGGACTCACGGTTTTTTATATATATAAACATGGATTCAGAAATAGACATAAACACATCCACACACACTTCCTAGCTGTGCCGAGGGGCCTGGAAGCAACGACATTAATAGCAAGGAACACATTCAACAACCTAAACATGGATTTTAAGTCACATTTTCCAGGGTTCCTTCGGCTAAGGAGTCAGGTTTCCTGATTCCAAAGCTAAGACCAGGAAATTACAAGATGGCTTGCAACAGTAGTTTTCTCTAATGCTAGAAAAAAAAGTGCTCAACAAATTATAAGGACATGTCAAAAGTGCCCTAGAACTAATTTGGAAGGGCCCCCAATGACCACACATGGATCATTAGAGCAAAAGTATATATATAATTATAATCCACAAGATTAAGAGTCCATGAGTCCATACTGATCTAATTTTTTAATGACTAAGTAGATCCTTCCTTACAACTAAATTCCAACTAATAAATATAGAAAGAATGATAGAACTAAAAAATTCACTTCAGTAAGAACTTCCAATATTTTCAACAGAAGCTAAAATGAGTGGGTAAAACTATGACGTGAAACAAATCATCATATAGTCTCAAACTATTTCTTTGTAAGATACGCATTAAATAAAAAAGGAATAGTAAACCATTAAATGAAATGGTAAGTCAATATGTAGAAACCTGGCAGTCACGCCTAAACATCAACAGTATTGGGACAGACTGACTTCCTGTGACTCCTGTTATGATAAACCAAGGAGACATCACCTCTGTGTCACAGACATGTAGGGGGGGAAAACAAACAAGGAACTCAAGATTAAAGGAGACTAAAGAAAACATGACAACAAAATGCAGCCATGAACCCAGACTAGATACTGTGCCAGTCAAAGGGCACTGGTGAGACAGCTGGCGAAATGAGGTCTGCTGATTAGATAATACAGTAATGTTGTGGTTTTGATAATACTGTAGTTATAAAAGATGCTAACATTTAAAATACCTTGTGAATAATATACAGGAATTTTCTTTATTTTTTCCAGCTACCCTGTAAGTGAAATTATTTCAAATAGAAAACATACAACTTAAATGAGACTATTAACAAAGGCAAGATCTTATACACAGAACCAAAATGGCATTAAGTGGTATACAAATGACTAAAGTTTGGGAACAGTACATGTAGGCAACCTCAAATTTTAATGTGCACGTTATCACCTCTTAAAATGCAGATTCTGGTTTAGTAGGTCTGGAGTGGGGCCTGAGCTCTGTATTTCTAACAAGCTTCCAAGTGATATCAATGTGTCCAATACCACACTGCCCTTTAAAGATACTAAGAGATTTGTTTTCTACACTCCAAAGACACAGTTGCTTATTTTAATAGTTGTTGGGAACTAAACCTGGGATGCCTACTCACACCTACCCTGACCTTGACTTTCACAGACAATGGTAATTAAGGACTGACTTTGAATGCCAGCTCTGTCACCCACCAGCCAGTGGCCTTGAACAAGATACTTAACCCCTCTAAGGTTTAGTTTTTCCACCTATAAAATAATGTGACAACCAAGAGTATAATCTCAAGTAACATTTAGTTAACAACTGGAATTTAGACATAACAGTGATATTTATCGAACTTGTAGAAGACACTACTCAGAATACACTAAATAAAAGATACACTAGAAAAGAATAAGGAGTTAAAAATATCCTAAGAGCTACAATTATAGCATTAGACAAGATGAAACAGAAGTACAAAAGGGAAGTCTGCATCTAGATTTTTAAACAGTAAACAAGAAATAAAGAACTCAATCATAGCACTGATAAAAATAACTGAAAGTTTTTAGTTGACATAAAGCTCCCAGAAGGTCAACAATGTGAATCCTAGCCCCTCAAAATAGGTAATATATGTAAACTTAGGTTGAACTAACAGAGCTGTAGTGTCTATGATAAAGAAAGGAATGCGGTCTGGTCCACCATACCCAACTACATCTGAAAGCCTATGTTTAGTTCTTGGTGAACAGCATGTGGCTCAAATGCAAAATATCCAAAGGAAGGCATGGCTGAATGCAGTTGAGAAAAACAGGTAAGAGACACTGTAGTTGCAAGTACTGGCTATTAGTGAAGCAGGTCAAATCGTAGATACTACCTAGAAACAACAGCTAGTCCTCAGCTCTACCCAGCTCTGACTTGGAGAATGACTGATGTGGAATAACTGTATCTTCCAGGTTTCAAATTATAGCTGGAAATCTGGATTATGTGAAACTTTACAATCATTAAATGTCGGCAACTATTTAAAAAAAAAAAATGAAAACCTTGTGCAGATTGCATGAAATGGCATTAATTTACAACCTCTAATGAAGTTCAGTATTTCAAATGCTCTTGCCTCAAAAGCAACTGGTTCTGCATTAATTCAGGGACAAAACTTTGAGTTCAAGTTAAAGTCACCCACTTGTGCAGGTATATAACACAGAAATATATCATGATAGAAGGAAAAACTTTACATATAGCTAACACTGGAACTGGCTGTCCCTGAACATAAAGCATTATGCTCTCTAGAAATGTCCTCTAGCCAGGGTGTAGATGACCATCTTAGCAAAAGTTGTGGATAAGCCTGAATTTGACGGCGCCTAAGATTTAGTATCCAACACTAAGTCTGAGGGTCTCTATATATGTGTGTTTCAATCTAATAATAAAACATTTTCTCTAGATTATACTATGAGTAAGTGGTTGTTTATAAAGGGCCAGTAAAGGTGCAAAGGGTCACGTAAAGAGCAGGAGGTTGGAGACTTCATGAGTCAGTGACTTGGGTGAAGTACAAGTTTTAACATTTTCTCTCAAACGTGTATTGTTTAGAGAAAAAAATTGAAGAAGTTTCACTATTGTTTGACTACCTAGATAAGACAAGGCAGAAATATAAGTTCAAAGTTTATTTTTTTACTATTAAAAGGAATCATCTTGTGATTATAGCATGCTTCTTGCAATCTAGTAAACCTTAAAGCATCTTTTGTGCAACTTGAATGATATACACTAAGAATGCAATAGATAGATTCTTGAAAACTGCTACTTTATGTGAAGCAATGTTTAAGAAAGCAGGCCCTTCAAAAATACTTCATCAGTGGGGACTATTTTTTTTTCTTACAATCATTATGACAATACTATTCAAGGATTTGTATTTGTGTGTGTGTGTGTTTAAACTGAGCAAATGTTCAACATACAGGAGACTCTAAAAGAAAAAGATAGCAACTAAAAAGACTTCAGTAAAGTTACCTACACCAGAAAACCTTCTTTACAATTACCCATTACTTTTCTGTCTAAGGATCTGTTGTTACATATAGAGACTGTGGGTTCCATGGGGACAGAAACTCAGTAAGATGGTTTAGACAAGATAAATAAGGTCAGACAAGATAAAGCCAGAATATAAAGGGCTTTAACCTCAAGAAAAAAGAATGGTATTTATTGTGAGTGTTAATGGGAAGCCACTGAAAGGCTCAAAGGGAGAAATGATATAATGTGGTTTACATTTTTAGAGCTCATGTTGGTGTCTGTGTAAAAACTGTTTGACTTTGGGGTGGGGAGATGGCAAAAGAAAAGAAAGAGTAGAACCTGAGCTAACCAGTGAGTAAATTACTGCAGTAATCTGAATCAAAGATGGAGATGTCTGATATTTAGGTGGTGGCAACAAAACACAATGAAGATTCATAATATATTTTTTCCAACATAAAAACTAAAAAGTCCGTTAAGTATCAGTTTAGAGTATATAATAAAGAATATACAAATTTAAGACTATAAAAATTAAACTTACTTTAGATACTTGGCATATTCTGGTTCTTTCCAGTAAAGCAAGTACTTAAGATAATTAACAAAAGCTTTGTCTTTGAAGTAACCTCTCTGGGCAAGAACTGAAAGGCATAAAAAAAAAACATACATCTGTAGAGCAAACCAATCCCTGGACTACGGACATGTGAACCCCTAAGTTACTTACATAACATACCCACCACCAACATACACTAAATTCAAAACACAAATCTCTACTATCCTATATAAATTAGCAGTAATTCTATTCAATTGTGTATGTATAAAAGCAGAAACTATTATGAATTGCAACTGCTACCAGAAATCATTAGAAATTACTAAATTCAATGAGGTGCTCACCAACTTACAATTAAGGTAATTTGGGTTGGCTAAACACTGCACAAATTCCAACTCCAACTGAAACCGAAGTCGATTTCCAGCATCATCTAGGAGAGAAGATAGTAAAATCATCCAAAATAAACATCACCGTGTAATTTGTAGAAAGAAAACAAAAGTAAAGTCCAACTTAATGTTGAGCTACATTTCTGCATACAGAGTACAGGACAGTTTTCCTAAATTGAGAGTGAGCAGAGATAGGCTTTTCTGAAAAGTATAAGGAGAGCCTGATTAAAAAGAGTAAGTTAGAAGTTTCTCTAAAGTTAAGAGAATCATCCACCTCAACAAAAAAAAAAGCTGGAATAGGCACGGGACAGGATATTTACTACCAGAGAGCCACTTTATAGGGATTTTATAACTGTAACATCTGTGTCTTCCTCTACGGTATTCATTCCCTGCAACAACTGTTGAGTGATTAAGTTAATACTAAGTAGATGATAAGACACTCAAAAAAGGTTTCGAATGCAAACTAAAGAGTCGAGAACACACGACCAAGTGTGCAAGATCAAAGACAGAGCGCACGTGAAAACCGTGGCGGCAGAACGATACCCAAGTAGGTCGTAGATACTTCAAACTTACTCAAGCTCATCTGAGACGCAGAAAGCCTATGGAGGAGACCGTTCCAAGTTCTCTCAGTCTCACCCCATGCTGGGATGCCGGTGGAGCCGGTGTGTGAACAGACAGTGAAGGAAAAGGGTCTGAGAACAAACCAAACTCTAAAAAGGCCAAACTACCTTCGCCTTTCCAGACGCTACAAGAGCCCTCGCCCCTGGAGGTCCGAACTGGAAGCCTGCGGGATGGGGCCGGGAAGGAGTCCCCGGAGAAGCAGGAGGAAGTGTCTGGTTCGAGGACACTTCTATTTGCTAAGACTCCGGACTACTCACCTGTCTCCATAGCGACAGCCGCGGCCATCACAAGCAACGACGTTGAGTCTCCAGCAGCCGGGAGAGAGCAGCCTCCCGGAGGAGCGCGGAAAGTTCCGGAAGCCACAGCTCCCTCTTCCTGTCGCGGGGCAGTATGGGAAGCAGGGGCGGGCACAGCCTCGCGCGGAGGCGGGAGGCCACGCCCATCCGAGGCCCGCCCCGCCCAGCATAGCCCCCGCCCAGCCCGGGCTCCGCCCTCACCGGCTCCGAAAAGGGTAGGGAGATGTGCGGGGGCCCGCGGAGCAGTGACGGGCAGAGCGTAGTATTTGAAGGGTTGTTGCAGTCCCCACCCGACCTCTACGTCACCGTGCCGTGGCACTCGTCTATCCTTGTGCCTGCGGTGACGCAACATGCTGCTCTGATGTCATTCTTTAGCTTGTGACGTCAGCCTTAGGCGAGAGACTTTCGGGACATCTGGGTGGGGGCCTCCTGAGGCCCCAGGCACATCATTACTGTGTAGAATGGCCTCCCCTTTTCGGGGCAAGCCCTCTTCGCCCCGGGTGGACACCATCCGCTACAAAGAGACGTCGACGGTTCGCGTGGAGACTTCGTCCCACCGCGTGGAGACATCCTCCCGGCAGGTGCAATCATCTTTCCAACAAGTGGAGACTTCCCAACGCCGCAGTGAGGGATCCATCTTCTCCCCTTCTGGAAAACGGCTCCCTCAGGTCCTCGAGATGTCCTCCCAGCACGTGGAAACAACCTCACAGCGCACAGAAACGTCATCCCGCCATTTCAAGGCCTCGTCCCTGAGGGTGGAGACTGCTGTGCACCGCATGGAGAGCCCGCCCCGGCGGGACAAGCCGGCAGCCCGCCAGAACGTAAAAACAACCCGGTGAATTGCTTCCCAAAGGCCACGACAGGGCCACGGGCCGTCAGCCAGGACAGAAATGCCTCCAGTTTGCTGCCAGCCAGCAGCCCGGTGGACCAATTATCTCCGGTTTCGTGGAAACAGCCCGTAAATCAATATAGGAAATAACCAAGCTGCATTTTGGGGACTCAGCCAACATTTATTGACCATGCTTTACCCTGAGCCATCTGCCTTTGACACACTGAACTGTTTTAGCTTGAAGCCAGCACAAAAAGCTTTGAGATCCATGCTACTGTATACATTGGGTTTACAAAGAGGCTCTGAGCAGGTGAGTTTGGGGTTGATAACCCTGAAAGACCTTCAGTGCATCGAACTTAGGGGATAGGAGCCAAACTGAAGTCGTGACCAGTGGAATGGCTGTCAATACTGGCAGAAAATCTGAGGGGCGAGAAACAGATTTGCAGTCATTCATTCATTGACTTTTCCTTATGCTTCAGAATAAGTGGTTATGCTGAACCTTTGTACATGGTTTATCCCCACCCATACACTTTTTAACATAGGGCAAATGTTAAAAGATGAACTGTGAAGGCAGATATCATTGTTGACAGTCAGGAATAATCTTAGAAGAGAAAGTAAGAGAAGGGCTTACCAACTTGACCTGCAGTTGGAGGGAAGAAATACCTATTGATTACCTCCTCTGCACAGACATTATTCTGGTGCTTGTTCAAGAGGCAGTAAACAGGGCAGCCCTAGAGAGGAGCTTGCATTCTGTGAAGAAGCAGACAAATGACAAAGCAAGACCATGATCAGCACTATAAAGAACATAGCAGGGAAACGTGGGAGAGAATGGAAGGATGGTTAGGGAAGGCTGAGTGTGCAGCAGCTGAGCTGTGGACTGCCGAGATCTGGGGGCAAACATTGTAGGCAGAAGGGACAGCAGATATAAAGGGTGGATGGGAGCAAGCTTGCAAAAGCAACAGAAGGACCAGTGTGGCTGGAGGATGAGGGCAGTAGGGAAGAGAGGTGTTGGAGAAATATGAGCGGCCACTGCATAGAGATCTCACAGTATGCCACGGTAAGGAGCTTGGGTTTTATTCTAAAGTTAAGGGGAAGATTTTAGAGGACTTTCAGCATGGTGAAACCTGTCTTTGTGTAGGGTGTAGGTTCCCTATCAGTGATGATTTTTCCTCCCAGAGTATGTTTGGCAATGTCTAGGGACATTTTTGTTTGTCACAATTGGAGAGTGCTACTGGGATTGCTGGTGGAAACCAGGGAGAGATGCTGCCCAGCTTCCTACAGTGAACAAGACAGCACTACTGCCTCCTTCTCCCCTCCCCCCATTATTAAAGGATTGGCCCAAAATGTCAAGTGTGAGCTTGGGAGGCACTGATGCAGAGGATAAGAGAACAAATGAGTGTCAGGAAGCTAAGGCAGCAGGCCGGTGGCTCTGGAGAAAAGTAATGTGGCTCTGGAGATCAGGAATGTTTTGGAGACAGATCTGATTTTGCTAGTGTGTGTGGAAAGTGAAAGAAAGAGAAATAGAAGACTCCAGAATGATTTTCTAAATTTTGACTTGAGCGGTTTGATGCATGATTTGGTGGAACCATTCTCTGTGATGAGAAATATTAGGGGGAAGATCAGGCTTAGAAGAGAAAATCAGTTCAGTTTTGGCTCATCCCCTTAGGGCCTGGTTTGACCTGCCTAATTTTTCCTTGCCTAAGTCCTTTGGCAGCCACAAATAAGAGGGAAAGTTTGCACTAACCTACAAGAAAAATGCTTCTGAAAAATTGACTTTTACACTACTCCTAGGAAGAAGGTATTAGAACAAAGGTTCAGAAGTCCAGGTTGTTCTTTGTTTTTGAGGTGGGGGAAGGGAGAGTATTGCAACTATATTAATATGTAGTCCTAGCCCCAGGTTTTCGTGGGGTGATTGAAGAGCGACTGAATTGATCTCTACGGTGATTCTCCACTGGAGGCAGGTTTTCCCCATGGGGAACAGGTGATAATGTCGGGAGATATTTGTGTCACACTGTGGGTGTTGGTTGCAACTGACATCCACTGAGTGGAGGTCAGTGTTGCTGCTAAACCATCATGCACAGCTCATCTCCCAACTGCCTGACAACAAAGAATCATTCTGCCCAAAATGTAAGTAGTGCCACGGTTGAGAAACTTGGAAGATTCTAGCAGCTTATAAGTTTAGAGCACCCCACTTTACAGCAGCATTATATTATGCAAGAGGATTCGAGTTTAGCACCTCTGTCTACTGTGAGAGCAAGAGCTCTCAGAGGAGAGGGATATTGTTGTTTGAGGGGGATTCTTATACCTTTGTTTTCCATAATTTATGTGACATTTACCCAGAAGAAAATCTAGCAGGATGTAAATGACCTTGATTCTGTGGGACTTCATTGTGAGGTATGGGTGCTTGCTATTGCCACATGTGGTTCTAAATCATACCCACAATACTTTGTTGAATTACAGGGGTGTGTACTGTACTGCCCAGCTGAAGAGGAGGTCAGGCCAAGCCAATGTATAACACCCCAAAGACTACTGTCAGGCTTCTGCCTCATAAAAGTCAGTTCTAAACTAATAACTGGACTTCAGAATTTTAGTCTTTGGTGAGCTTACTAGTTCTTTTAAATGTGACAGGCAATGCTTTTTTATACAAACACTCTTCATCAGTGTTTTTTAAATGAACGGGTAGTTGCTTTTCTCTAACAATGTTCCTTCTTAACATTTTTACTACAAAGTGATATATGCTTAATGTAACTCATGTAGTAATTTTAAAATGTGTAAAGAAAATTGCAGTAATTTGTCATCTTCCATTTCCATCCTCTGGAAGCAATGTCAGTTACCTGTATACATCCTTCCAAACCTTGCTGCATTAACTGCTTCTGTCCCATTCTTAGTAGTACCTAGGAGACTGTTCGAAAGGTCACTGTGGAAAAAAACAAAGACTGGGTTTCTAGATGACGATTCTCTTAGGAGTATATAGGATCCCGATAGCATCTTCCTTTTTGTTACCCTTGTTTCATAGGTTTATTTCTAGGTAAGATAAATTTCATTCATCTATGTTTCAAAGCTGAAATCCAAAGATATACGCAGAGCAAGTTAGTATCCCAAAAAAGACGAGACAAGAAGGAAATGGATATGTAAGGTATTTACCACACGCACCATTTTACGCATCAGATTACACAGCTTTAAAATGATCCAGTATGTTAAAGAAGCTCTGTCTGTCAAGACTTTTAATGTACTTGCTGCATATTGTAAGTGTGTGCTGCCCATCCGCCCTACCTTGTCCTTCCTCGGAAGCTCTGAAGGAGATGGAGGTAGGTGTGGTGCTTTATCTGTGGCGTGGTATATAATACTGAGCCCAGTGTGTATATAATAAAAAGCCAAGAGCAACGCTGGCCCTCCATCCCCAGCAAAGGAAGTCCATAGTGTCTCTGTCCACTAACCCTTTAGAGGTGTCTTGCTACTCCATAGTTATGGCTTGCCTTCAGTCATTGCTAACCAGGCTAGTTGAAAATAAATAAATAGGGACAAATCATACTGAGGAAAAGTGGGTGCCAGCTATGATCCCCTAATCCACTAATTATATGTAGGTTGAGGGCATTTGCCAAAATTCAGCATACTTATTTGCAATCAAGTTGTGTCGAAAATATTTGAAATGAAAGAACGTCATTACTAAAATACTCTTTCCCCAGATCTCACAAGCCATGGGAAGAATCAAGAGCCCAGCCAGTGAGATATTTGGCTCAACTTGGCCTCTAGCTTTCCCAAGACTCCTGTCCCTCATTCTTGCTGTTACTACCACCCCAGTGTGGCTAGAACAGGTGTCCGAGCCCAGGATACTTGATCCAGCCTCTCCAAGGTTTCCCCTGTTATAAGTTAGATGCTGTTCATTTGGAGTTCTGTGTTTAAAAGCTTTTTTTCCCCAAAACAGTCAATTTTTATGGTACCGATGGAAAAACTAAAGCCCAGAGAAGCCAAAAGTAACCTGCCAAAAGCAGAGCTTCTTATAGTCACTGTTCACTGCCCCCCAGGATGGTTTCATTAAGTAGCCAAATAAAGGTAGGTCTGATGTCCTTAATTTTAATTTACATTTTAATTTACATTGAGCATAGTGAGTAATACTAAGAAAGAAAGAGGTAACATTTATATGGAATTCTACATAGCACTCATTCCTATGAGATTCTAAGAACACCTCCTTCCTGTTTGAAACCCTGATATTAGCCACATAAACATTACCTCATCTTGTTAAATGTTCTTGGTAAATTGACCCATTCATCACTTATCCCTGGTAATATTCTTTGCTCTGAAATCTATTTTATTTCACAGAACATAGCTTCTCAAGCTTTCTTTTGATTATTATTAGAGGGGTGCATTTGTCTGTTTTACTTTCAACCTATTTATGGCATATTTAAAGTGGATTTGTCCCAATAATTCTACTTCTAGATACATACCTCAGAGAGTTGACAGCAGAGTTGGATATCTGTATGTCCTTGTCCATAGCAGCATTATTCACAATAGCCAAAAGGTGGGAGTGACTCGAGGCCATCAATGAATTAAAAGATAAACAAAATGTGATCTATACATACAAAGAAGTAGTATTCAGCCTTGAACAAAGAGGGCATTTTGATGTGTATCAGTTACCACATGGATGAGTCTTGAAGACATTATACTCAGTGACAAACTAGTCACAAAAAGTCAAAATAAAGTGGCTTGTTGTATTATATTGGGTTTTGTATTTAATCCAACCTAATACTTCCTGCCTTTTAGTCACTTTATATTTTCTGTAATTATATGCTTGGGTTTAAATCTGCCATGTAGCTCTTGTTTCTGTTTGCTTGTTCTGGTCTTTGTTCCATGTCTCCCTTTTTTGTTCTGGATTAATTATTTCTAACTATTCCACTTTCCCTCCTTACTTAGCTTATTGCTTTTTTTTTATTTTAGTAGTTTCATTAGGGTTTATAGCAAATATTTTTAACTTATTATACCTTTACATGTTATCCTACTCTATACTTGTACTATAAGAACCTTACAGAGTTTACTTCCTTATTTCCCCACCTTTTTTTTTTTTACCATGGCCATACACTTTAATTATGCATATAAATGCTAGAGTACATTGTTAGCATATTTGTTTTAAATAGCTGATTATCTTTTAAACAAACTTGAATGGTGTTTAACAGCCCTCTGTATTCACTCACGTGGTTTCCGCTTTGGCTGGTTGCCCTTCGTTTGTATGGATCCACTGGTAGCATTTCCCTTCTGCTTAGAGTGGACTTGCTTCATCATTTCTTCTTGTACAGGTTTGCTGGTGATATATTC